CAGGAGGATTTGGGGGACACAAACACGGGAATAGCACGGGGGGGATCACAGAGGAGATGTGGGGGTCTCAGGAGGATTTGGGGGACACAAACATGGGAATAGCACGGGGGGGAGCAGATGTGGGGGGAGCAGAGAAGATGCAGGGGGTCTCAGGAGGATTTGGGGGGGACACAAACATGGGAATAGCACGGGGGGGTCACAGAGAAGATGTGGGGGGTCTCAGAAGGATTTGGGGGACACAAACACATGGGGAATAGCGGGAGGGGATGTAGAGGTCAGAGAAGATGCAGGGGGGTCTCAGGAGGATTTGGGGGGGACACAACACACGGGAATAGCATGGGGGGAGGGGGTTCACAGAGGAGATGCAGGGGGTCTCAGGAGGATTTGAGAGGGGGACACAAACACACGGGAATAGCACGGGGGTCAGCAGAGAAGATGCAGGGGGTCTCAGGAGGATTTGGGGGATGATGGGGGGTCCCAGGAGGATTTGGGGGATGGTGGGGAGTCTCAGGAGGATTTGGGGGGGACACAAACACATGGGAATAACGGGTGGGGGAGGAGATGTGGGAGGGGGGTCAGAGAAGATGCAGGGGGTCTCAGGAGGATTTGGGTGGGGACACAAAACACAGGAATAGCGTGGGGGGATCACAGAGAAGATGGGGGTCTTCAGGAGGATTTGGGGGACACACACACAGGAATAGCATGGGGGAGGGGGTCACAGAGGAGATGCGGGGGTCTCAGGAAGGATTTGGGGGGACACACACAGGAATAGCATGGGGGAGGGGGTCACAGAGAAGATGTGGGGGTCTCAGGAGGATTTGGGGGACACAAACCCACGGGAATAGCGGGGGGAGGAGCAAATGTGGGGAGGGGGTCAGAGAAGATGTGGGGGTGTTCAGGAGGATTTGAGGGGGACACAAACACATGGGAATAGCACGGGGGGGTCACAGAGGAGATGTAGGGGGTCTCAGGAGGATTTGAGGGGGGACACAAACATGGGAATAGCACGGGGGGTCACAGAGAAGATGTGGGGGTCTCAGGAGGATTTGGGGGACACAAACATGGGAATAGCGACTGGGGGTCTACAGAGGAGATGTGGGGGTCTCAGGAGGATTTGAGGGGGGACACAAACACACGGGAATAGCGTGGGGAGCAGATGTGGGGGGGTCAGAGGAGATGCGAGGGGTCTCAGGAGGATTTGGGGAGGGGGTTGAGACAGGAATAGCGTGGGGTGGGGCTGGGGCACAGAAGAGATGATGAGGGGGTCCCAGGAGGATTTGGGGGACACACGGGAACACCGTGGGGTGGGGGGAGCGTGCAGGGGTCCCGGTGGGGGGAGGGGGTTTGACACAGGAATAGCGTGGGGGTCCTGGGGTCCTCAGGAGGATTTGGGGGGTTGACACAGGAATATTTGGAGGGGCACAGAGGAGATGCGGGGGGTCCCAGGAGGATGCGGGGGTGGAGGGGGACACAAACACGGGAATAGCGGGGGGGAGGGGGATGTGGGGGTCCTGGGCGGATTTTGGGGTGGGACACCCACGGGAACAGCGTGGGGTCCTGGGGGTCTCAGGAGGATTTGGGGGAGGTGACACAGGAATAGCGTGGGGGCCCTGGGGTCTCAGGAGGATTTGGGGGTTGACACAGGAATTGCAGGAGGGCACAGAGAAGATGCGGGGGGGTTTGCACAGGAATGGGGGGCCATGGGGGGTCTCTAGGGGGCACCCTCCGGCACTCGGGGGAGGGGGAGGGGGGACACGCGAGATAAAATTTTGGTGGGAGGGGGCGCCTCAGCGCTGAAGCCCCAAATGGCTCTTGGAGGGGGAGGGAAGGACGGGGGGAGGGGAAGGCGGGGGCTGCAGCAAAGCGCAGATTGTTGGGAGGGGGGGAGAGAGAGGAGAGAACCTGAACCCACAACAAACCCCCTCCCCCAGCATTCCCGTGCGCGGAAAGTCGACCCCAAAATCACCCAAAACTGCCCAAATTTCCCCAAAATCACCCATAAATAACCCAAAAATAGCCCAAAAATAGCCCAAATTCCCCCCGCGGCACCTTCTCGATCCTCTGGAGCCATTGACGGTTCTGGGCCAGCTCGGCCAGGAACGCGGGGTGTTGGAGCCACGGCTTGGGGGCCCTGGCCGGGGTCTCGCGTGGGGTCCCCGCCATCAGCACCTTCGCGGATCCAGCCATCCAGCTGCGGGGGCAGGGGAGGGGCGCATCACAAAACCCCCTGCTCCAGGGCGCCCCTGAAAACGGACCCCGAAAATGGGGGAATAAAATGGGGGTGGGTTTGGGTGGGGGGGGGGAATGGGAGAGAGGAGGTTTGAGGGGGGGAGGGGGAGGATGGAGCGGATGATGCAGCAGATCCCGCCGGAGGAGCCGCGAGGAGGGAGGGAAAAAAGAAATAAGAAAAAAAAAAAAAAAAGGGGAGAGGGAAAAAAAATAAAAAAAGGGGAAAAGGGAAAAAAAAAAAGGGAAAAAAGGGAAAAAAAGGGGAAAAAAGGGAAAAGGGAAAAAAGGGGAAAAAGGGGAAAAAAGGGGAAAATAGGAAAAAAGGGGAAAAATAACAAGAAAAAAGGAAAAGAGAGAATATAAATTGGGAAAAAAAGGGAAAAAAGGGGAAAAAATAACAAGAAAAAAGGAAAAAAGGGAATATCAATTGGGAAAAAAAGGGGTAAAAAGGGGAAAAAAGGGGGAAAAGGGGAAAAAAGGAGAAAAAATAACACGAGGAAAAAAAAGGGAAAGAAGGGAAAAAAAGGGGAAAAAGGGGAAAAAAGGAGAAAAAATAACACGAGGAAAAAATAAGGAGAAAAAAAGGGAAAAAATGGAAAAAAAAGGGGGGAAAGGGACGGGAAAAAAAAAGAAAAAAAAGGGAAAAAAGGGGAAAAAAAGGAGAAAAAATAACACGAGGAAAAAAAACAGGGAAAGAAGGGGGAAAAAAAGGGGAAAAATAACACGAGGAAAAAAACAAGGAGAAAAAAAAAGGGAAAAGGAAAGGGAAAGGGACAGGGAAAAAAGGGGAAAAAGGGAAAAAGGGAGGAAAAGGAGAAAAATAATGAGGAAAAAAAGGGAAAGAAGGAGGAAAAAAAGAAGGGGAAAAATAACACGAGGAAAAAAACAAGGAGAAAAAAAAGGGGAAAGGAAATAAAGGGGGAAAGGGACGGGGAAAAAAAAAAGGGAAAAAAAGGGAGATGAAAAAGTAAAAAAAAAACAGAGTAAAAAAAAAAAAGGGAAAAAATAGGGGGAAAAAAAAAGGGAAAGAAAAAAAGCCAAAAGAAAACACAGTAAAAAAAAACCCAAAACGAATAAATAAACAAAATAAAAAAAATAAAAATAAAGGAAAAAAAACGGGGAAAAAAAGGGGGGGAAAAAAGGGGGAAAAAACAAAGGGGGAAAGAAAAAGGGGAAAAAAAGGGAGGGGAAAAAAAGTGCCAAAAAAACCACAGGAAAAAGAAAACAAATGAAAAAATAAATAAACTAATAAATAAATAAATAAAAATAATAAAAAGCAACAAAACACAACAAAGAAACAAACAAGCAAAATACCTTCCAAAAAAGGGGAAAAATCAAAAGGTAAAAAAAGGTAAAAAAACTTCCCCAAAACCCAAAAACGAAAAAGAGGAAAACCCTCAGGAAACCCCCCAAAAAAAAAAAATTAAAGGAAAAAGCGGGAAAACCAAGCGATTTTGGGAATGGGAACCAAAAAAATTGAAAATTGGGTCGGGAAAAAAACAACCCGGGGTGGGGGGAGGGGAAAAAAAAAAACCCACGGGGAACCCCCCCCGAGGTGGGGATAATTTGGGGGTTCCAAGGTTGAGGATGATCTGGGGGTCCAGGGGGTCTCCAGGGATGATCTGGGGGTCTCTGAGGTTGGGGGTGGTCTGAGGGGGTCCAGGGGGTCTCAGATATTTGGGATGATCTGGGTTGTCCATGGGGGCTCCCAAGGTTGGGGGCTCCAGGGGGTCTCAGGGATACTTTGGGGTCTCCAACATTGGAGAGGTGATTTGGAGGGACCCAGGGGTTCTCAGATGTTGGGGGTGGTCTGGGGGCCCAGGGGGTCTCCAGGGATAATTTGGGGGTCTCTAAGGTTGGGGGTGGTCTGGGGGTCCATGGGGGCCTCCAGGGATAATTTGGGGGTCTCTGAGGTGGGAGGGTTCAGGGGGTCCTCAGATATTGGGGTGATCTAGGGGGGTCCATAGGGGTCTCCAGGGATAATTTGAGGTCTCAGATGTTTGGGATGATCCGGGGGTCTCCAGGGATAATTTGGGGTCTCAGATATTGGGGGTGATCTGGGGGTCCAGGGGGTCTCCAGGGATAATTTGGGGTCTCTAGATGTTGGGGGTGGATCTGGGGGCCCAGGGGGTCTCCAGGGATAAATTTGGGGGTCTCTGAGGTGGGGGTGATCTGGGGGTCCATGGGGTCTCAGATGTTGGGGATGATCCAGAGGGCCCAGGGGTCTCCAGGATAATTTGGGGGTCTCTGAGGTTGGGGGTGATCCGGGGGGTCTCCAGGGATAATTTGGGGTCTCTGAGGTTGGGGAGTGATCCGGGGGTCCCAGGGATAATTTGGGGGTCTCAGATGTTTGGGATGATCCGGGGGTTCAGGGGGTCTCCAGGGATAATTTGGGGGTCTCAGATGTTGGGGATGATCCAGGGGGGCCCAGGGGTCTCCAGGGATAATTGGGGGTCTCAGATGTTGGGGGTGATCTGGGGGTCCATGGGGGTCTCTAGGGATTATTTGGGGTCTCAGATGCTGAGGGATGATCCAGGGGGCCCAGGGGGTCTCAGATGTTTGGGATGATCCAGGGGGTCTCAGATGTTTGGGATGATCTGGGGGCTCAGGGGGTCTCCAGGGATGATCTGGGGTCTCCAAGGTTGGGGGTGGCCTGGGGTCCATGGGGTCTCCAAGGTTGGGGGTGGTCTGGGGGTCCATGGGGGTCTCCAGGGATAATTTGGGGGTCTCAGATGTTTGGGATGATCCAGGGGGTTCAGGGGGTCTCTGAGGTTGGGGCTGGTCTGGGGGTCCATGGGGGTCTCCAGGGATAATTTGGGGGTCTCAGATGTTGGGGGTGGTCCGGGGGCCCAGGGGGTCTCCAGGGATAATTTGGGGTCTCTGAGGTTGGGGTTGGTCTGGGGGCCTCAGGGGGTCTCCAGGGATAATTTGGGGGTCTCAGATGTTTGGGATGATCCGGGGGGGCCCAGGGGGGTCTCAGATGTTTGGGATGATCCAGGGGGGTCTCAGATGTTTGGGATGATCTGGGGGTCCATGGGGGTCTCCAGGGATAATTTGGGGGTCTCAGATGTTGGGGATGATCCGGGGGTCCAGGGGGGGTCTCCAGGGATAATTTGGGGGTCTCAGATGTTGGGGATGATCCGGGGGTCTATGGGGGTCTCCAGGATAATTTGGGGGTCTCTGAGGTGGGAGGGTCCAGGGTGGGGGTTGGGGGTCTGGTCTGACCTCTTGGCACTCCTGGAGGAACTTGTGGAGCTCGAGGTGGTCCTGGAGCTTCCGCGTCCACTCCTGGGCCAGCTCCTGGTTCTGTTGGCTCCTGGGAGTCCAGCCCAGCACCCCAATTAACCCCTAATTAAGCCCTGATTAACCCCTAATTAACCCCTAATGAAGTGGATCCCAAGGGGACAGCGAGGCCCGAGGGGCCCTCTGGGACCCTCCTGTGGAGCCCCTCTGTGGTCGCTCCTGGGGGGTCTGGGGCTGGGGAAGGGCCAGGGTGGTCCTGGGGGTCATGCGGGTGGTCCTGGTGGGTCCAGGGTGGTCCTGGGGGTCATGGGTGGTCCTGGTGGGTCCAGGGTGGTCCTGGGGGTCATGGGGGTCCTGGGTGGGGATGGTGGGTCCTGGGTGGGGATGGGGGTCCTGGGGGTCATGGGGTGGGGGTCCTGGGTGGTCATGGTGGGTCCTGGGTGGTCATGGGGGTCCTGGGTGGTCATGGTGGGTCCTGGGTGGTCATGGTGGGTCCTGGGGGTCCTGGGTGGTCATGGGGGTCCTGGGTGGTGGGTGGTCCAGGGGTCCTGGGTGGTCCTGGAGTCGGTGGGTCCTGGGTGGTCCTGGTGGGTCCTGGGTGGTCATGGGGGTCCTGGGTGGTCATGGTGGGTCCTGGGTGGGGATGGTGGGTCCTGGGTGGTCATGGTGGGTCCTGGGGGTCCTGGGTGGTCCTGAGTGGTCCTGAGTGGGGATGGTGGGTCCTGGGTGGTCCTGGTGGGTCCTGGTGGGGTCCTGGGTCATGGTGGGTCCTGGGTGATGGTGGGTCTTAGGTGGTCCTGGGTGGGGATGGTGGGTCCTGGGGGTCCTGGGTGGTCCTGGGGGTCATGGTGGGTCCTGGGTGGGGCGATGGTGGGTCTTGGTGGGGATGGTGGGTCCTGGGTGGGGATGGTGGGTCCTGGGGGTCCTGGGTGGTCCTGGGGTCCTGAGGGGACTGGGTGGTCCTGGGTGGTCATGGTGGGTCCAGGGTGGGATGGTGGGTCCTGGGTGGTCCTCGGTGGGTCCTGGGTGGTCCTGGTGGGTCCTGGGGTCCTGGGTGGTCATGGTGGGTCCTGGGTGGTCCTGGGGGGTCAGGTGGGTCCTGGGTGGTCATGGTGGGTCATGGTGGGTCCTGGGTGGTCCATGGGTGGTCCTGGGTGCAGGATGGTGGGTCCTGGGTGGTCATGGTGGGTCATGGTGGGTCCTGGGTGGTCATGGGTGGGTCCTGGGTGGTCCTAGGTGGGTCCTGGGTGGTCCGGGTGGTGGGTCCTGGGTGGTCATGGTAGGTGGTCCTAGGGTGGTCCTGGGGGTCCCTGGGGTATCGGTGGGTCCTGGGTGGGGATGGTGGGTCTCGTGCGTGGTCCTGGGTGGTCTCGGGTGGGTCCTGGGTGGGGATGGTGGGTCCTGGGTGGTGCTGGTGGGTCCTGAGTGGGGCCTGGTGGGTCCCAGGGTCCGGGGATGGTGGGTCTGGGTGGTCCTGGTGGGTCTTGGGTGGTCCTGGATGGTCCTGGGTGTCCCAGGTGGTCCCGGGTGGGGTGGGTGGTCATGGGTGGTCATGGGTGGTCCTGGGTGGTCCCGGGTGGTCCCAGGCAGTCCTAGTTGGTCCTGGGTGGTCCCAGGTGGTCCTGGGTGGTCCCAGGGTGCGGGTGGTGGTCCTAGGTGGTCTCGGTTGGGTGTCCTGGGGGTCTGGGTGGTCCTGGGTGGTCCCAGTGGGTCCCAGTTGGTCCCAGGGTCTGGGTGGTCCTGGGTGGTCCTGGTGGGTCCTGGGTGGTCCCAGGTGGTCCCAGGTGGTCCTGGTGGGGTGGGTGGTCATGGGTGGTCCTGGGTGGTCCCAGGTGGTCCTGGTTGGTCCCAGGGTGGGGTGGGTGGTCCTGGGTGGTCCTGGGTGGTCCCAGGTGGGTCCCAGGTGGTCCAAGTGGTCCCAGGGTCGGTGGGTGGTCCTGGGTGGTCTGCGGTGGTCCTGGGTGGTCCCAGGTGGTCCCAGGTGGTCCCAGGGTCTGGGGTGGGTGGTCCTGGGTGGTCCTGGGTGGTCCCAGGTGTGGTCCCAGGTGGTCCTGGGGTGGTCCCAGGTGGTGGTGGGTGGTCCTGGGTGGTCCTGGGTGGTCCTGGGTGGTCCCAGGTGGGTCCTGGGTGGTCCCAGGGTCTGGGGTAGGTGGTCCCAGGGTGTCTGGTGGGTGGTCCCGGGTGGTCCCAGGTGGTCCTGGTTGGTCCCAGGGTGGGGTGGGTGGTCCTGGGTGGTCATGGGTGGTCCTGGGTGGTCCCAGGTGGTCCCGGGTGGTCCCAGGGTGGGGTGGGTGGTATTGGGTGGTCATGGGTGGTCCTGGGTGGTCCCAGGTGGTCCCAGTTGGCCCCTAGTGTGGTGGTTGGTCCTGGGTGGTCCCAGTGTGGGGTGGGTGGTCCTGGGTGGTGCTGGGTGGTCCCAGTTGCCCCCTGGTGTGGTGGTTGGTCATGGGTGGTCATGGGTGGTCCCAGGTGGTCCCAGTCGGTCCCTGGTGGGGTGGGTGGTCCTGGGTGGTCCCAGGCGGTCCCAGGTGGTCCCAGGGTGGGGTGGTTGGTCCTGGGTGGTCCCAGGCAGCCCCAGTTGCCCCCTGGTGTGGTGGTTGGTGGGTGACCCCCCGTACTTTTGGCGCAGCTCCCGCACGGCCTCGGCCACGCGGTCGCTGTGGAGGTTCTGCTGCCTCTGGAGGCTCTCCCCGGCCTGCAGGACCTGCTGGACCTTCTGCAGGTTCAGCTCCAGGGTGGTGGTGAAGTCCCTGTGCTCCTTGAGGGCCTTGGTCACCCCCTCCAGGGTGTCGGGCAGCTCGGCCTGGGCCAGGGTGGCCTCCTGGGGGACAGGGGAGGGTCACCCACGGGGTCCTTCTTCTCTCCTGGCCACCCCAAACCCACAGCGGGGCCACCAGGGGCCAAAGTCATCAACCAGGAGCTTCTCCCACCCAAATCCATCACCCAGGAGCTTCTCCCACCCAAATCTCATCAACCTTGCACCAAATCATCTTAGAGCTCCCACCCAAATCCATCACCCAAAACCATCTCCCACCCAAATCCATCACCCAAGATCTTATCCCACCCATCTCCATCAACCAGGAGTTCTCCCACCCATTCCCATCACCCAAACCCTTCTCCCACCCATTCCCATCACCCAAACCCTTCTCCCACCCAAATCCATCACCCAAAACCTTCTCCCACCCATTCCCATCACCTAAAATCTTCTCCCATCCCAAATCCATCATCCCAAAATCTTCTCCCACGTAAATCCATCACCAAAAACCTTCTGCCATCCAAATCCATCACTCAGGAGCTTCTCCCACCCAAGTCCATCATCCAAAACCTTCTCCAGTTCATTCCCATCATCCAAAACCTTCTCCCACCCAAATCCATCACCCAAGACCTTCTCCCACCCAAATCCATCATCCAAAACCTTCTCCCACCCAAATCCATCACCCAAGACCTTCTCCCACCCAATCCATCACCCAAAACCTTCTCCCACCCAAATCCATCATCCAAGACCTTCTCCCACCCAAATCCATCACCCAAGACCTTCTCCCACCCATTCCCATCACCCAAGATCTTCTCCCACCCATCCCCACCAACCAAGACCTTCTCCCACCCAAATGCATCACCCAAGATCTTCTCCCATCCATCTCCATCACCCAAGACCTTCTCCAACTCGTTCCCATCACCCAAGACCTTCTGCCACCCAAATCCATCACCCAGGAGCTTCTCCCACCCATTCCCATCCCCCCAAACCTTCTCCAAATCATTCCCATCCCCCAAAACCTTCTCCCACCCATTCCCATCATCCAAAACCTTCTCCCACCCATTCCCATCATCCAAAACCTTCTCCCACCCAAATCCATCACCCAAGACCTTCCCCTATCCATCTCCATCAACCAGGAGTTCTCCCACCCGTTCCCATCCCCCCAAACCCTTCTCCAACTCGTTCCCATCATCCAAAACCTTCTCCCACCCATCATCTCCACCAACCAAAACCTTCTCCCACTCCATTCCCATCCCCCCAAACCTCCAATTCATTCCCATCCCCCAAGATCTTCTCCCACCCATTCCCATCCCCCAAAATCTTTTCCCACCCATTCCCATCCCCCCAAACCCTTCTCCAACTCGTTCCCATCATCCAAAACCTTCTCCCACCCATTCCCATCACCCCAGACCTTCTGTAACTCGTTCCCATCATCCAAAATCTTCTCCCACCCAAATCCATCACCCAAAACCTTCTCCCACCCATCTAAACCACCCATCCATCCCTATCATCACCCAATACCTTCTCCCACCCATCATCTCCACCAACCAAACCCTTCTCCCACCCATTCCCATCACCCAAAACCTTCTCCCACCCAAATCCATCACCCAAAACCTTCTCCCACCCAAATCCATCATCCAAAACCTTCTCCCACCCATTCCCATCACCCAAACCCTTCTCCAACTCGCTCCCATCACCCCAGACCTTCCCCCACCCATCATCTCCACCAACCAAACCCTTCTCCCACCCATTCCCATCCCCCAAACCCTTCTCCCACTCCCTCCCATCCCCCCAAACCTCCCCCAAGCCCCTGCTCCCCCACCTGCTTGCCGAGGGTGCCCTGGCACCGCCGCACGTCCCTGAGGAAGAGCTGGTAGACGTGGCACTGCGCCAGCACCTCCCTCCTGTCCTCCCAGCTCTGCAGCAGCCGCGCCCAGCCGGCCTCCAGCTGCTGCAGCCACTGCTGCAGGGACAGCTGGGGCCCCTCCAGGTCCTGCAGGGCCAGCAGCTCGCTGGCCGCCTGGATGCGGGCGTAATCCTCCTCCCGGGCGTCGATCTCCTCCTTGAGCGCCACGTGCAGCTCCAGCAGCCGCTCGGCCTCGCCCGGCGTGCCCGGCAGGTCCCTCCGCGCCGCCGCCTCCCTGCCCTTCACCAGCCAGGCCAGGAAAGCGTCCAGGTCGTGGATGAAGCGCTGCAGCCTCCCGGCCACGGCCAGGGCGTCCTCGCAGGCGCGCAGGGCGCGCTCCAGCCCGGCCCACTCGCGGCCGACGTCGCCGAAGGGCAGCAGCACCTGCAGCGCCCGCGCGGGGTGGGCGGCGGCCAAAGCCTCGCCCCGGCGCCGCAGCTCGGCCAGGCGCGGCTCCAGCACCGCCAGGGCGGCCTCCACGCTGGCCAAGCGGCGCCGAAGGGCGGCCGCCCCCGCCGCGCCGTCCTTGGAGCCGCAGCCGCCGTCTCCTCCCGCGCGGGCGGCCTCGATGGCCCGGCGCTTGTCCCGCACCTGAGCCTGCAGCTCGGAACACTCCAGCAAAAAGTTCTGGATCTTCTGCACCGACGCCAGCTGGGATTTCTTGGATTCTACCAGTTCCACCACTTCGTTCCAGCTGGGGGGGGAAAGGGGGGGGAGGGGGGAGGAAAAAGGGACGAGATCACCAGGAGATCATCTGATCACCAGGAGATCACCAGGAGATCATCAGATCACCAGCAGATCACCCAGGGATCATCTGATCACCAAGAGATCACCAGGAGATCATCAGATCACCAGCAGATCACCCAGGGATCATCAGGAGATGATCAGATCACTGGAAGATCACCCAGAGATCACTGGGAGATGACCAGGAGATCACCAGGGGATCACCAGATCACCAGGAGATGACCAGGAGATCATCAGATCACCAGATCATCCAGAGATCACCCAGGGATCATCAGGAGATCATCAGATCACCGGGAGATCACCCAGAGATCACCCAGGGATCATCAGGAGATGATAAGATCACTGGAAGATCACCCAGAGATCACTGGGAGATGACCAGGAGATCACCAGGACATCACTGGGAGATCACCCAGAGATCACCAGGAGATCACCAGGAGATGACCAGGGGATCACCAGATCACCAGGAGATGACCAGGAGATCACCAGGACATCACTGGGAGATCACCCAGAGATCACCAGGAGATCATCAGATCACCAGATCACCCAGGATCACCAGGAGATCATCAGATCACCAGGAGATCACCAGGAGATCATCAGATCACTAGGAGATCACCCAGGGTTCATCAGGAGATCATCAGATCACCAGGAGATCACCAGGAGACCACCCAGAGATCACCAAGCTATCCCCAGGAGATCACCCAGAGATCATCAGGAGACAACCAGGAGATGACCAGGAGATCATCAGATCACCAGGAGATCACCAGGAGATCATCAGGAGATCACAGTCTGGTTACCCCCACCCAGGAGACCCCAAGAAGGTCAAAGTCCACCTTAGGACCACCAGGATGGGCTTGGAGAGGTGGATCCCACAGGGACACCCCTTGGGGGGTCTCCAAACCCCACCTTGGGGGTCTCCAAACCACCCTTGGGGGGTCTCCAAGCTGTTGTGTCCCCCCCACCCCCCAAGGAGCCCCCCAGCAGGTGGGTGCCCCCTGTCCCCCCCCCCAGGCAGGTACCGGCTGTTGAGGTGGTCCTGGCACGCCTGGACCTCCTCGGAGCTGGGGTGGCCCCCGTCCACCAACTGCTGCACCACCTGGTTGACGTCCAGGATGCGGCCCATGACGCTGTTCATCTCCTGGTCCAGGCTCTCGAACCTGGGGGGGACATGGGGAGGACCACCGGGGGTGAGGGGACCAGCAGAGGGTGAAGGACCACCGGGGGTGAGGGACCACCAGGGGTGAGGGGACCACCAGAGGGTGAAGGACCACCGGGGGTGAGGGGACCACCAGGGGGTGAGGGGACCACCGGGGGTGAGGGACCACCAGGGGTGAGGGGACCACCAGGGGTGAGGGGACCAGCAGGGGATGAGGGACCACCGGGGGTGAAGGGACCAGCAGGAGATCGGGGACCACCGGGGGTGAAGGGATCAGCAGGAGATCGGGGACCACCAGGGGTGAGGGCACCAGCAGGAGATCAGAGACCACCGGGGGTGAGGGGACCACCAGGAGATCGGGGACCACTGGGGGTGAGGGGACCACCAGGCGGTGAGGGACCACCGGGGGTGAGGGGACCAGCAGGGGGTGAGGGGACCACCAGAAGTTCAGGGACCACCAGGGGTGAGGGACCAGCAGGAGATCGGGGACCACTGGGGGTGAGGGACCACTGGGAGATCAGGGACCACCGGGGGTGAGGGGACCAGCAGGAGATCGGGGACCACCAGGGGTGAGGGGACCACCAGGGGTGAGGGACCACTGGGAGATGAAGGAAAAGGGATGAAGGACCACCAGGGGATGAGGGACCACCAGGGGTGAGGGGACCAGGGGTGAGGGGACCACCAGGGGATGAGGGACCACCAGGGGTGAGGGACCAGCAGGAGATGAAGGAAAAGGGATGAAGGACCACCAGGGGGTGAAGGACCACCAGGGCATGAGGGGCCACCAGGAACCACCAGGAGATGAAGGAAAAGGGATGAAAGACCACCAGGGGATAAGGGACCACCAGGAGATGAGGGACCAGCAGGAGATGAGGGACCACAATGAGATGAGGGACCACCAGGGGGTGAGGGAGCACCAGGGGGTGAGGGACCAGCAAGGAACGAGAGATAACAAGGGATGAGGAACCATCAAGGGATAAAGGATCACCAAGGGATGAAGGAACCACGAGATGATGAGAGACCACCAAGGGATGAAGGACCACCAAGGGATGAGGGAACACCAAGGGATGAGGAGACACCAAGGGATGAGGGACCACCAGGGGGTGAGGGGTCAACAAGAGATGAGGGAACACCAAGGGATGAGGGGTCAACAAGAGATGAGGGAACACCACAAAGGGATGAGGGGCCACCAGGAGATAAAGAATCACCAGGGCATGAGGGATCACCAGGGGATGAGGAAACACCAAGGGATGAGGGACACCAGGGGATAAAGGACCATCAAAAGATGACGGAACACCAAGGGATGAGGAGACACCAAGGGATGAGGGAACACCAAGGGATGAGGGGACACCAAGGGCTGAGGAGACACCAAGGGATGATGGAACACCAAGTGATGAGGAACCTTCTAGGGATAAAGGGTCAACAAGGGATGAGGGAACACCAAGGGATGAGGGATCACCAAGGGCTGAAGGAACACCAAGGGCTGAGGGACCACCAGGGGATGAGGGCCCACCAAGGGATGAGGACTCACCAAGGGCTGAGGGAACACCAAGGGCTGAGGGACCACCAGGGGATGAGGGAACACCAAGGGATGAGGAGACACCAAGGGATGAGGGATCACCAAGGGCTGAGGGACCACCAGGGGATGAGGGAACACCAAGGGATGAGGGAACACCAAGGGCTGAGGGATCACCAAGGGCTGAGGAGACACCAGGGATGAGGGAACACCAAGGGATGAGGGAACACCAAGTGATGAGGAACCTTCTAGGGATAAAGGGTCAACAAGGGATGAGGAAACACCAAGGGATGAGGGATCACCAAGGGATGAGGGAACACCAAGGGATGAGGGAACACCAGGGGATGAGGGCCCACCAAGGGATGAGGGAACACCAAGGGATGAGGGCCCACCAAGGACTGAGGGCCCACCAAGACACAACGCACCCCCAAAACCTGAAGAACCCCCAAACCCCCCATTCCCCCCTCCCCACCCACCTGTGCTGCACCACCTCCACCTCGTCCAGCTCCTCGGGCACCTCCATCCCCCCCAGCCACTGCTCCTTCTCGTCCAGCCACGCCTCGCACGCGTCCACCTCCCCCAGCAGGCCGTAGACGGCCAGCGCGTCCTGCAGCCACTGCGTCCTCAGCACGGCCACCTCGGCCACCTCCCCGAAGAGCTGCTCCACCTCCACCACGCCGATCTGCGCCTGCACGCCCTGCCGGTGAGGCGGCGCCAGCTCCGCCAGCCGCCCCCGCAGCGCCAGCACCGCCTCCCGCTGCTTCTCCAGCTCCTCCAGCAGCGCCCGGTGCTGCCGCAGCAGCGCCCGGCTCGAGTGCTCGTCGTGGCCGAAGTCGTCGCTGGCGGCCACGCGGAAGGCCGAGCGCAGCCGCGCCGCCAGCTCGTCCGTCTCGGCCGAGAACCGAAAGAAGGCCGAGGCCTCCTCCAGGCGCCGCTGGTGGAGCCCGGTGAGCTCCTCCAGCTTCTTCCAGCGCAGGCAGACGGAGCGCAGCTTCTCGCGGACGCCCCCCGAGCCCCCCGGGGGCCGCCGGGCCAGCAGCTTCTCGCCCTGCTGGAGGCTCCGGTGGAGCAGCGCCCGCCGCTGGCCCAGCTCGCCCAGCGTGGCCTTGTGCTCGGCGGCCAGGGCGGCCACGCTGCTGAGGTCCCTGCCGCAGCTTTTGTGGGCCAGGATCTTCTCCTTGTCGCCCATCCAGGCCTCGGCCTCCTCCATCTCCTGGAAGAAGGTCCAGAGCTGGCGGGAATCCTCCAGCTCCTTGCGCCGCTTGGCCGCCAGCTGGGCCAGCTCCTCCAGGCAGGCGCGAACGTGGTGGACGCGGTTGCGGATGATCTGAGGGTCACAGGGTTGGTAACCTGGGGGGGAGGAGGGGGTCAGGTTGGATGGGGAGGTGGGTGGATGCAGTTATGGATGATCTGAGGGTCGCAGGGTTGGTAACCTGGGGGGGAAGGAGGGGGTCAGGTTGGATGGGTTGTGGATGATCTGAGGGTCACAGGGTTGGTAACCTGGGGGGGAAAAGGGGGTCAGGTTGGATGGGTTATGGATGATCTGAGGGTCGCAGGGTTGGTAACCTGGGGGGGAAGGGGTCAGGTTGGATGGGTTGTGGATGATCTGGGGGTCACAGGGTTGGTAACCTGGGGGGGAAGGGTCAGGTTGGATGGGTTGTGGATGATCTGGGGGTCGCAGGGTTGGTAACCTGGGGGAGAAGGGTCAGGTTGGATGGGTTGTGGATGATCTGAGGGTCACAGGGTTGGTAACCTGGGGGGAGGAGGGGAAGGGGGTCAGGTTGGATGGGTTGTGGATGATCTGAGGGTCGCAGGGTTGGTAACCTGGGGGGGAAGGGTCAGGTTGGATGGGTTGTGGATGATCTGAGGGTCACAGGGTTGGTAACCTGGGGAAAGGAGGGGGAGAAGGGGTCAGGTAGGATGGGTTGTGGATGATCTGAGGGTCACAGGGTTGGTAACCTGGGGGGAGGGGGAGAAGGGGTCAGGTTGGATGGGTTGTGGATGATCTGAGGGTCAGGTTGGATGGGTTGTGGATGATCTGAGGGTCAGGTTGGATGGGTTGCGGATGATCTGAGGGTCGCAGGGTTGGTAACCTGGGGGAACGAGGGGCAGTCAGGTTGGATGGGTTGCGGATGATCTGAGGGTCGCAGGGTTGGTAACCTGGGGGAAGGAGAGGGAGGGGAGAGGTGGTCAGGTTGGATGGGTTGTGGATGATCTGAGGGTCACAGGGTTGGTAACCTGGGGGGAAGGGGGGCAAGGAGGGGGTCAGATTGGATGGGTTGTGGATGATCTGGGTCAGGTTGGATGGGTTGTGGATGATCTGGGGGTCAGGTTGGATGGGTTGTGGATGATCTGGGTCAGGTTGGATGGGTTGTGGATGATCTGAGGGTCACAGGGTTGGTAACCTGGGAGGGAGAGGCAGTCAGGTTGGATGTGGTTGTGGATGATCTGAGGGTCAGGTTGGTAACCTGGAGGGAAGGGGGGTAGGGAGGTGGTGACCAGGTTAGATGTAAGGGCAGGCTGGATGGGCTGGATGAGGGTTGCAGGGTTGGTAACCTGGGGGGGAAGGGGTCAGGTTGAATGGGTTGTGGATGATCTGAGGGTCAGGTTGGATGGGGGGGTGGGTGGATGGGTTGTGGATGATCTGGGGGTCAGGTTGGATGGGGAGGTGGGTGGATGGGTTGTGGATGATCTGGGGGTCAGGTTGGATGGGGAGGTGGGTGGATGGGTTGTGGATGATCTGGGGTCAGGTTGGATGGGGAGGTGGGTGGATGGGTTGTGGATGATCTGGGGGTCACAGGGTTGGTAACCTGGGGGGGGACGAGGGGGTCAGGTTGGATGGGGAGGTGGGTGGATGGGTTGTGGATGATCTGGGGGTCAGGTTGGATGGGGAGGTGGGTGGACACAGTTATGGATGATCTGAGGGTCGCAGGGTTGGTAACCTGGGGGAAGGAGGGGGGAAGGGGGTCAGGTTGGATGGGGAGGTGGGTGGATGGGTTGTGGATGATCTGAGGGTCAGGTTGGATGGGGAGGTGGGTGGATGGGTTGTGGATGATCTGAGGGTCGCAGGGTTGGTAACCTGGGGGGGAAGGGGGAGGGGGTCAGGTTGGATGGGGAGGTGGGTGGAGTCATTGACCCCCCTGGAGGGGACCTCTTGGGTCAGCTCTTCTTCAGTGGATCACCAGGAGATTGGGTTGACCTTTCAACCAAGACTTTGGGTTGACCCTTGCATGGTCAACCAAGATCTTTGGGTTGATCCTTCCATGGTCCACTAGACCCTGGGTCAACCTTTCTGTGGCTCTTTGAGTTGACTTTGGGTTAACCCTTCCATGGTCCACCAAGAGCTTGGGTTGAACTTTCAACCAAGAGCTTGGGTCAGCCTTTCTCTGGTCTACCAAGATTTTGGGTTGGCCCTTCCATGGTCTACCAAGACCTTAGGTCGACCTTTCAACCAAGGCTTTCAGTTGACCCTTTCATGGTCAGCCAAGACCTTGGGTTGAGACTTTCATGGTCCACCAAGACCTTAGGTTGACCCTTCCAAGGTCTACCAAGACCTTGGGTCAACCTTTCAACCAAGATTTTGGGTTGGCCCTTCCATGGTCTATCAAGATCTTGGGTTGACCCTTCCAAGGTCTACCAAGACCTTGGGCTGACCCTTCCAAGGTCAACCAAGACCTTGGGTTGACCTTTCAACCAAGACTTTGGGTTGACCCTTCCGTGGTCAACCAAGACCTTGGGTTGAGACTTTCATGGTCCACCAAGACCTTGGGTTGACCCCTCCCTGCTCCACCAAGACCTTGGGTCGACCCTCCCCCTCTCAAACCTTGAAGAACCTTCTCCCACTGCCCACCAAGACCTCCCACTGACCATGCCATGACCTCCCAAGACCTTGGCTTGGCCCTCCCCAAAGAGCCGGTCCCGGTGCCCTCCCAGTGCCCTCCCAGTGCCCTCCCAGTGCCCTCCCAGTACCCCCCGTTACCCTCCAGCTCAGCGAAGGTGAGGGCGGCGGCGTTGAGGGCCTGGACCCGCTCGGTCTGCGCGGCGATGTCGGCCTCCAGCAGCCCCTGCTTCTGCAGAAGGTCCTCCACCTCCAGCAGGTGCTTGCCCAGGTCCTTGGACACCAGGAGGACCTGCAGGACAACGAGAGAGACACCTTTCGGTGGTCCATCAAGATCTTGGGTTGACCTTTCTCCCATGGTCCACCAAGACCTCAGCTGGGCCATTCCATGGTCTATCAAGACCTTGGTTGACCCCTTTTCTGCCATGGTCCACCAAGACTTTGGGTGGACCTTTCTGTGGTCTACAAGACCTTGGGTTGACCCTTCTTCCATGGTCCACAAAGACCTCAACTTGGTCATTCAAGACCTTGGGTTGACCCTTCTTTCATGGTCCACCAAGACCTCATCCTGACCACTCCATGGTCCATCAAGACCTTGTTTGACCCTTCTCCCGTGATCCACCAAGACCTCATCCTGCCCACTCCATGGTCCATCAAAACCTCATCTTGACCACTCCATGGTCCACCAAGACCTTGGGTTGACCTTTCTCCCATGGTCCACCAAGACCTCATCCTGACCATTCCATGGTCCACCAAAACCTCATCCTGACCATTCCATGGTCCACCAAGACCTTGAATTGACCCTTCTCCCATGGTCCACCAAGACCTCATCCTGCCCACTCCATGGTCCATCAAAACCTCATCTTGACCACTCCATGGTCCACCAAGACCTTGGGTTGTCCCTTCTCCCATGATCCACCAAGACCTCATCCTGACCATTCCATGATCCACCAAAACCTCATCCTGACCATCCCTTGGTCCACCAAGACCTCATCCTGACCATCCCATGATCCACCAAGACCTCATCCTGCCCACTCCATGGTCCATCAAAACCTCATCTTGACCACTCCATGGTCCACCAAGACCTTGGGTTGTCCCTTCTCCCATGATCCACCAAGACCTCATCCTGCCCACTCCATTATCCACCAAGACCTCATCCTGACCACTCCATGGTCCACCAAGACCTTGGGTTGTCCCTTCTCCCATGATCCACCAAGACCTTGGATTGTCCCTTCTTCCATGGTCCACCAAGACCTTGGGTTGTCCCTTCTCCCATGGTCCACCAAGACCTCATCCTGACCACTCCATGGTCCACCAAGACCTTGGGTTGTCCCTTCTCCCATGATCCACCAAGACCTTGGATTGTCCCTTCTTCCATGGTCCACCAAGACCTTGGGTTGTCCCTTCTCCCATGGTCCACCAAGACCTCATCCTGACCATTCCATGGTCCACCAAGACCTTGGGTTGTCCCTTCTTCCATGATCCACCAAGACCTCATCCTAACCACTCCATGATCCACCAAAACCTCCCCCTGCCCACTCCATGATCCACCAAAACCTCATCCTGCCCACTCCATGGTCCACCAAGACCTCATCCTGACCATTCCATGATCCACCAAGACCTCATCCTGACCACTCCATGATCCACCAAAACCTCCCCCTGCCCACTCCATGATCCACCAAAACCTCATCCTGCCCACTCCATGATCCACCAAGACCTCCCCCTGCCCATTCCATGGTCCACCAAAACCTCATCCTGCCCACTCCATGATCCACCAAAACCTCCCCCTGCCCACTCCACCACGTTCTTCCCCTCCCCTCCCCAGCCCACCCCACCTGCATCTCCTCCATCCAGTCGATCATGTAGACCATCTCCTGGAAGATCTTCTGCAGGGCCAGGTTCTGCTCCAGGCGGGCTCTCCGGGCCGCCACCAGCTGGGTGAGGAGGCCCCACTGGCGCAGGATGTTGTCCTTCTGGGCGCTGATCCTCTTGGTGTCGTAGTAGCCCTCGGCCTCCATCTCCAGGGCCAGCTCCACCACCACCTGGATGCGCTCCTGGTACGAGGAGATGTCGGCCTCGATGGCCTCGTGCTTCTTCATGGCCGCCTCCACCGCCGGCAGGTCGTAGCCGAAGTTGTCCTGGGGGGGAGGAGGAGCTTGAGGAGGTCACAACATCCCTGTCCCTGCTCAAGGAGGAGCTTCAGGAGGTCACAACATCCCTGTCCCTGCTCAAGGAGGTGGCACCACCCCTCCAGGGGCAAGGAGGTGCTTGAGGAGGTCACAACATCCCTGTCCCTGGTCAAGGAGGTGCCACCACCCCTCCCCAATCAACCAGGCAGGTCGTAGCCAAAGTTGTCCTGGGGGGAGGGGAGGGTGGGGCAAGGAGGAGCTTCAGGAGGTCACAACATCCCTGCCCCTGCTCAAGGAGGAGCTTCAGGAGGTCACAACAACCCCTCCAGGGGCAAGGAGGAGCTTCAGGAGGTCACAACATCCCTGTCCCTGGTCAAGGAGGTGCCACCACCCCTCCAAAATCAACCAGGAGCCCAAGGAGGTCACAACACCCCTCTCTCTGCTCAAGGAGGTGCCACCAGACCTTCATGGCCAAGGAGGTGCCACCACCCCTCCCCAATCAACCAGGAGCTTGAGAAGGTCCCATCACCCCTCCAGGGTCAAGGAGGAGCCCAAGGAGGTCACAACACCCCCCCCTCTCTGCTCAAGGAGGTGCCACCAGATCTTCATGCCCAAGGAGGTGCCGCCAGACCTTCACAGTCAAGGAGGTGCCACCACCCCTCCCCAATCAACCAGGAGCACAGGGAGGTCCCATCACCCCTCCAGGGTCAAGGAGGAGCTTCAGGAGGTCACAACACTCCTCTCCCTGCTCAAGGAGGTGCCACCACCCCTCCCCAATCATCCAGGAGCCCAAAGAGGTGCCACCACCCCTCCAGGGTCAAGGAGGAGCTTCAGGAGGTCCCAACACCCCTCTCCCTGGTTAAGGAGGTGCCACCACCCCTCCAGGGTCAAGGAGGAGCTTCAGGAGGTCCCAACACCCCTCTCCCTGGTCAAGGAGGTCCCACTACCCTCGCTGAGGTCCCACCACCCTACCTGAGGTCCCACCACCCTGGCTGAGGTCCCACTACCCAAGCCTTGGGTTCCACCCATTCCCCCACCCCATCCCCCCCAAGGACCTTCAGGTCCTCCAGGAGCCCTTCCCACCCCATCCAAGGATCTGAAGGTCCCCCCAAGGATCAGAAGGTCCTCCAGGAGCCCTTCCCACCCCATCCAAGGACCTGCAGGTCCTCCCAAGGATCTGAAGGTCCCCCCAAGGATCTGTAGGTCCTTCCCACCCTATCCAAGGACCTGCAGGTCCTCCAGGACCCCCTCCCCCTCCCCACCTGGGACACGAGGCGCTGGTTCTCGCTGAGCCAGCTCTCCCTCATGCCGGCCTTGTGGTCGAAGCGCTGGGCCAGCAGCTCCAGCTTCTCCTGCCGGATCAGCTCCTCCCTCAGGGCCACCTCCCGCTCGTGCTCCGCCTTCTCCAGCCGGCCCCAGGCCTGGGGGGGACACCGAGGACAGGGGGGGTCACCGGGAGGTCCCCCCCGAGGTCATGGGGGGTTCTCGGAGGGAAGAGAAACCCTCGGAGATGTGGGAGGTCAAAAAGGGCAGGGAGGAGATTGAGGAGGTTCCACCGGCACCAAGGAGGTCCCACCAACCCCAAGGAGGTCCCACCAGCCCCAAGGAGGTCCCACCAGCCCCAAGGAGGTCCCACCAACCCCAAGGAGGTCCCACCAAGCCCAAGGAGGTCCCACCAGCCCCAAGGAGGTTCCACCATCCCCAAGGAGGTTCCACCAACCCCAAGGAGGTTCCACCAGCCCCAGTGAGGTCCCACCAGCCCTGGTGAGGTTCCACCAGCCCCAGTGAGGTCCCACTAGCCCTGGTGAGGTTCCACCGGCTCCAAGGAGGTTCCACCAACCCCAAGGAGGTTCCACCAGCCCCAGTGAGGTTCCACCAGCCCAACGAGGTCCCACCAGCCCCAAGGAGGTCCCACCAGCCCCAAGGAGGTCCCACCAGCCCTGGTGAGGTTCCACCAGCCCAACGAGGTTCCACCAACCCCAAGGAGGTCCCACCAGCCCCAAGGAGGTCCCACCAACCCCAAGGAGGTCCCACCAGCCCCAAGGAGGTCCCACCACCCCTTCATGGTCAAGGAGGAGTTCAGTGAGGTTCCACCACCCCCAATGAGGTCCCACCAGCCCTTCCTGGTCAATGAAGAGCTCAGTGAGGTCCCATCACCCCCAGTGAGGTCCCACCAACCCCAAGGAGGTCCCACCACCCCTTCCTGGTCAATGAGGAGCCCAAGAAGGTCCCACCAGCCCCAGTGAGGTCCCCCCAGCCCTTCCTGGTCAATGAGGAGCTCAATGAGGTTCCACCACCCCCAGTGAGGTCCCACCACCCCAATAAGGCTCCACAACCCCTTCCTGGTCAATGAGGAGCTCAAGAAGGTCCCACCACCCCCAAGGAGGTCCCACCAGCCCCACTGAGGTCCCACCACACCCTCTGAGGTCCCACCACCCCTTCATGGTCAAGGAGGAGCTCAATGAGGTTCCGCCACCTCTTCATGGTCAATGAGGAGCTCAAGAAGGTCCCACCACCCCCACTGAGGTCCCACCAGCCCTCCCTGGTCAATGAGGAGTCCAAGAAGGTCCCACCAGCTCTGAGGAGGTTCCACCACCCCTGGTGAGGTTCCACCACCCCTCCCTGGTCAATGAGGAGCTCAAGAAGGTCCCACCACCCCCCATGAGGTCCCACCACCTCTGAGGAGGTTCCACCACCCCTTCCTGATCCTTGAGGTTCCACCACCCCTCCCTGGTCAATGAGGAGCTCCAAGAAGGTCCCCCCACCCCCATGAGGTCCCCCCAGGCCTCCCCGTGCCCCCCAGACCTTGTTGATGTCAGAGATGCTCCTGCCCTCGCTGGGCACGTAGAGCTTGCGGTTGGTGGCCCGGAGTCTGCTCTGGATGGTGAAGAGCAGGACCTCCAGGTTGCCCTTCTCCTGGAACCTGCAGGGGGGGCAGGGCCAGGTGAGGGCAGGAACCACCCCCTCTGTCAGCCAGGAGGTCCCACCACCCATCCCTGATCAATCAGGAGCTCAATGAGGTCCCACCATCCCTAAAGAGGTCCCACCACCCATCCCTGGTCAGCCAGGAGCTCACAGAGGTCCTACAATCCATTCCTATTCAACCAGGAGCTCAGAGAGGTCCCACCACCCATCCCTGGTCAACCAGGAACCCAATGAGGTCCCACCACCCTTGATGAGGTCCCACCACCCATCTCAGGTCAGCCAGGAGGTCCCACCACCCATCCCTGGTCAACCAGGAGCTCAATGAGGTCCCACCACCCATCCCTGGTCAGCCAGGAGACCAGAGAGGTCGAAAAATCCCTAATGAGATCCCACCACCCATCTCTGGTCAACCAGGAACCCAATGAGATCCCACCATCCCTAAAGAGGTCCCACCACCCATCCCCGGTCAACCAGGAGCTCAGAGAGGTCCCACCACCCCTGACAAGGTCCCACCACCCATCCCAGGTCAAACAGGAGCCCAATGAGCTCCCACCACCCATCCCTGGTCAACCTGGAGCTCAGAGAGGTCCCACCACCCTTGATGAGGTCCCACCACCCATCCCTGGTCAAAAGGAACCCAATGAAATCCCACCATCCCTAAAGAGGTCCCACCACCCATCCCTGGTCAGCCAGGAGCTCAGAGAGGTCCCACCACCCATCCCCAGTCCACAAGGAGCTCAGAGAGATCCCACCAACCCCAATGAGGTCCCACCACCCCCAATGAGGTCCCACCACCCCCAATGAGGTCCCACCAACCCCAATGAGCTTCCACCAACCCTGATGAGGTCCCACCAACCCCAATGAGCTTCCACCAACCCTGATGAGGTCCCACCACCCCAGATGAGGTCCCAGTACCCCTGATGAGCTCCCACCACCCCCAATGAGGTCCCACCAACCCCAATGAGGTCCCACCGCCCCTCATGAGCTCCCACCAACCCCTGATGAGGTCCCACCACCCCCAATGAGGTCCCACCACCCACAATGAGCTCCCACCACCCCCAATGAGCTCCCACCACCCAACCATGAGGGGTCCCCCCCTCCATCAGGGCCTCACTTGACGGGTTTCTCGAGGGTGCAGAAGGTGGTGAAGGCCTGGAGCTGCTGCTGGACCCCGGCCAGGGAGTTGGCGAACTTCTGGTGGCCGATGACGGCGATGGTTTGGTGGATCCAGGCCAGCAGCTCGGCCGCCAGCGCCTCGTAGCGAGCCGTGATGGCCCCAATCTCCATCACCTGCTCCAGAACCTGGGGGGGAAATGGGGGGAACTTCTGGTTGGGGGAACCTTCTGGAGGTCACCTCAGGTCAGCCAGGGGTGGGACATCCCATGGAGCAAGGGGTGGGACAGCCTTGGGGACAGGAGTAGGACATCCCATGGAGCAAGGGATGGACCAAGAGATGGGACCTCCCATGGAGCAAGGGATGGAAAAAGGGGGGGGACATTTATGGGGACAGGGGTGGGACATCCCATGGACCAAGAGATGGACCAAGAGATGGGACATCCCATAGAGCAAAGGGTGGGACATTTATGGGGACAGGGATGGGACATCCCATGGACCAAGAGATGGAAAAAGGGGTGGGACATCCATGGGGACAGGAGTGGGACATCCCATGGACCAAGAGATGGGACCTCCCATGGACCAAAGGGTGGGACATCCCATGGACCAAGAGATGGAAAAAGGGGTGGGACATCCCATGGAGCAAAGGGTGGGACATCCCATGGAGCAAGGGATGGAAAAAGGGGTGGGACATCCCATGGACCAAGAGATGGACCAAGAGATGGGACCTCCCATGGACCAAAGGGTGGGACATCCATGGGGACAGGGGTGGGGCATCCATGGACCAAAGGGTGGGACATCCCATGGACCAAGGGATGGGACCTCCCATGGACCAAAGGGTGGGACATCCCATGGACCAAGGGATGGAAAAAGGGGTGGGACATCCATGGGGACCAAAGGGTGGGACAGCCTTGGGGACAGGGGTGGAACATTTATGGGGACAGGGGTGGGACATCCCATGGACCAAGGGGTGGACCAAGAGATGGGACATCCCATGGACCAAGAGATGGGACATCCCATGGACCAAGAGATGGGACATCTCATGGACCAAGGAATAGAAAAAGGGGTGGGACATCCATGGGGACGGGGGGGGACATGGTGGGGGGATCTCAGGAGGGAGTGGTTGTGGGACCTTCTGGAGGGTCCCATGGGGCTGGAGGGGTCACCTGGGGCCAGCCAGGAGTGGGACATCCCATGGACCAAAGGGTGGGACATCCCATGGACCAAGAGATGGAAAAAGGGGTGGGACATCCATGGGGACAGGAGTGGGACATCCCATGGACCAGAAGATGGACCAAGAGATGGACAAAGGGATGGCCCAAGGGATGGACCAAGGGGTGGACAAAGGGATGGCCCAAGGGATGGACAAAGGGATGGACAAAGGGATGGTCCAAGGGATGGATCAAGAGATGGAGCAAGGGATGGAAAAAGGGGTGGACCAAGGTGTTGACCAAGGGGTTGACCAAAGGATGGACCAAGGGGTGGACCAAGGGATGGACAAAGGGATGGACCAAGGGGTTGACCAAGGGGTTGACCAAAGGATGGACCAAGGGGTGGACCAAGGGATGGACAAAGGGATGGCCCAAGGGATGGACCAAGGGGTTGACCAAGGGGTGGACCAAGAGATGGGACATTCCATGGACCAAGGTGTTGACCAAGGGGTTGACCAAAGGATGGTCCAAGGGATGGCCCAAGGGATGGACAAAGGGATGGACCAAGGGGTGGACAAAGGGATGGATAAAGGGATGGGACATTCCATGGACCAAGGGATGGACCAAGGAATGGACCAAGGGGTGGACAAAGGGATGGGACATTCCATGGACCAAGGGGTGGCCCAAGGGATGGACAAAGGGATGGAGCAAGGGATGGACCAAGGGATGGTCCAAGGGATGGTCCAAGGGATGGACAAATGGATGGACAAAGGGATGGAGCAAGGGATGGGACATTCCATGGCCCAAGGGATGGACAAAGAGATGGACAAAGGGATGGAGCAAGGGGTGGACCAAGAGATGGGACATTCCATGGACCAAGGGATGGACAAAGGGGTGGACAAAGGGATGGACCAAGGGGTGGGACATTCCATGGACCAAGGGATGGACCAAGGGATGGGCAAAGGGATGGACAAAGGGGTGGACCAAGGGGTGGACAAAGGGATGGCCCAAGGGATGGACCAAGGGGTGGGACATTCCATGGACCAAGGGATGGAGCAAGGGGTGGACAAAGGGATGGACCAAGAGATGGCCCAAGGGATGGACCAAGGGGTTGACCAAGGGATGGATCAAGAGATGGACCAAGGGATGGACCAAGGGATGGACAAAGGGATGGCCCAAGGGATGGACCAAAAGATGGCCCAAGGGATGGCCCAAGGGATGGACCAAGGGATGGACAAAGGGATGGACCAAGGGGTGGACCAAAAGATGGACCAAGGGATGGGACATTCCATGGACCAAGGGGTGGACAAAGGGATGGACCAAGGGGTGGATCAAGAGATGGAGCAAGGGATGGACCAAAAGATGGCCCAAGGGATGGCCCAAGGGATGGCCCAAGGGGTGGACCAAAAGATGGACCAAGGGATGGGACATTCCATGGACCAAGGGGTGGACAAAGGGATGGACCAAGGGGTGGATCAAGAGATGGAGCAAGGGATGGACCAAGGGATGGACCAAGGGATGGACCAAGGGGTTGACCAAGGGGTGGACCAAGGGGTGGGACACCCCAGAGAACAAGGGATGGACAAAGGGATGGACCAAGGGGTTGACCAAGGTGTTGACCAAAGGATGGACCAAGGGATTGACCAAGGGGTGGACCAAGGGGTGGGACACCCCAGAGAACAAGGGATGGACAAAGGGATGGACCAAAGGATGGACCAAGGGATGGCCCAAGAGATGGACAAAGGGATGGCCCAAGAGATGGACAAAGGGATGGACCAATAGATGGTCCAAGGGATGGTCCAAGGTGTTGACCAAGGGCTGGGAACCCCCTGGTCCAAGGGGTGGGACCCCCCCATCCCAATCCAACCCCACCTTCCCGATTCGCTTCCCCTCCACGGCCAGAGCCTTCATCTTGGAGAAGTAGTGGTAGAAGGACACGACGTAGGTGATGATGGACTTCTCATCCGGCTCCTCCATGTTCACATCTGGGGAGGGGCAAAGGTCCTAAAAATCCATCCTCCAGGTGGGGAGGGGGCAAGGTCCCAAAAATCCATCCCTCCAGGTGGGGGAGGGGGGCAAAGGTCCCAAAAATCCATCCCTCCAGGTGGGGAGGGGCAAAGGTCACCCTTCCCAAAATCCATCCTCCAGGTGGGGAGGGGCAAGGTCCCAAAATCCATCCTCCAGGTGGGGAGGGGCAAAGGTCACCCCTTCCCAAAAACCCAACTCTCCAGGTGGGGAGGGGGCAAAGGTCACCCCTTCCCAAAAATCCGTCCCTCCAGCTCCCAATCACCACCCCCATCCTCTCCCCACCCTGGATCCACCAGGGCATCCCAACCCCAAAATCCTGGGCCGGCCCCTCCCCCTCCGGTCCTTAAAAACCGGTGGGGATGGCCCAGCCTGGGGTGGGATGGATGGACAGAGGGACAGAGGATGGATGGATGGATGATGGACAGATGGACAGATGGATGGACAGATGATGGATGGATGGATGATGGACAGATGGACAGATGGACAGAGGGACAGAGGATGGATGGATGGATGATGGACAGATGGACAGATGGATGGATGGATGGACAGATGATGGACAGATGATGGATGGATGGACGGATGGACAGAGGGACAGAGGATGGATGGATGGATGATGGACAGATGGACAGAGGGACAGATGGATGGACAGATGGATGGACAGATGGACAGATGATGGATGGATGGATGATGGACAGATGGACAGAGGGACAGAGGGACAGATGATGGATGGATGTGATGATGGACAGATGGACAGAGGGATGTGACAGATGGACAGATGGATCAGAGTGGACAGAGGATAGATGGATGGATGGATGGATGGATGGATGATGGACAGATGGACAGAGGGACAGAGGGACAGATGATGGATGGATGGATGATGGACAGATGGACAGATGGACAGATGGACAGATGGACAGAGGGACAGAGGATGGATGGATGGACAGAGGGACAGATGGATGGATGGATGATGGACAGATGGACAGAGGGATGGACAGATGGACAGATGGACACAGGGACAGATGGATGGACAGATGATGGATGGATGGATGATGGACAGATGGACAGATGGACAGAGGGACAGAGGATGGATGGATGGACAGATGGACAGATGGACAGAGGGACAGAGGATGGATGGATGGACAGATGGACAGAGGGACAGATGGACACAGGGACAGATGGATGGACAGATGATGGATGGATGGACAGAGGGACAGATGGACAGAGGGACAGATGATGGATGGATGGACAGATGGATGGACAGATGGACAGATAGACAGATGGACACAGGGACAGATGGATGGACAGATGATGGATGGATGGACAGAGGGACAGATGGATGGATGATGAACAGATGATGGACAGATGATGGATGGACAGATGGACAGATGGACACAGGGACAGATGGATGGACAGATGATGGACAGATGATGGACAGATGATGGATGGATGGACGGATGGACAGAGGGACAGATGGACAGGACAGATGGACAGCTGATGGACAGATGGACAGGACAGTTGATGGACAGATGAAGGATGGACAGATGGACAGATGGACACAGGGACAGATGGATGGACAGATGGATGGACAGATGATGGACAGATGATGGATGGATGGATGGATGGACAGAGGGACAGATGGACAGGACAGATGGACAGAATAGATGGACAGATGGACAGCTGATGGACAGATGGACAGGACAGTTGATGGACAGATGAAGGACAGCAGGACAGATGGACAGATGGACAGATGGACAGACGGTCAGCTGATGGACAGCTGAACAGGACAGATGGACAGAGGGACAGATGATGGACAGGACAGATGGACAGCTGGAAAAAAGGAAAGATGATGGACAGCTGGACAGGTGGACAGGACAGATGGACAGCTGATGGACAGATGAAGGACAGATGAAGGACAGCTGGCCAGGTGGACAGATGGACAGGACAAATGAACAGCTGATGGTCAGCTGATGGACAGATGAAGGACAGCAGGACAGATGGACAGACGGACAGGACAGATGGACAACTGATGGACAGCTGGACAGGACAGATGAAGGACAGCTGATGGCCAGCTGATGGCCAGATGGAGGACAGTTGGACAGCTGGACACATGGACAGCTGGACAGATGGCCAGGTCAGCTGGACAGGACAGATGGAGGACAGCTGATGGACAGCTGATGGACAGTTGATGGACAGGACAGATGGACAGATGGACCAGGCAGATGGTCAGACAGATGGCCAGCTGATGGCCAGATGGACAGGACAGATGGAGGACAGCTGATGGCCAGCTGATGGCCAGATGGAGGACAGTTGGACAGCTGGACACATGGACAGCTGGACAGATGGCCAGGTCAGCTGGACAGGACAGATGGAGGACAGCTGATGGACAGTTGGACAGGACAGATGGACAGAGGGACAGCTGATGGTCAGTTGATGGTCAGATGGACCAGGCAGATGGTCAGACAGATGGCCAGCTGATGGTCAGATGGACAGGACAGATGGACAGATGGACAGGACAGATGGACAGGACAGATGGACAGAGGGACAGCTGATGGTCAGCTGATGGTCAGATGGACAGGACAGATGGACAGGGGGACAGCTGATGGACAGCTGATGGCCAGCTGATGGCCAGCTGATGGCCAGAGGGCCAGCTGGGCAGGTGTCCCCGGCCGTACCCTCGGGGTCGAGCAGCTTGCTGAGCCCCAGGTGCTGCTCGGCCGTGTTGAAGGCCACCTGCAGGTTGTGGGTGGCGTTGGACTTGGTCAGCTTGGTGAAGTCCACGAGGTCCGGCCTGGGGAGGGGGCACAGAGGTCACAGAGGTCACCTCAGCCCCCTCCCCACATCCCCCAACACCTGCCCTGGGCCAGAGAGGTCCCCCCACCCCCAGGGAGGTCCCAGCACACACAGGGAGGTCCCACCAGGCCTTTGGGGTCATTCAGGAACCCAACGAGGTCCCACCACCCCCAGGGAGGTCCCACCACCCCCAGGGAGGTCCCAGCACCCACAGGGAGGTCCCACCAGACCTTCGGGGTCATTCAGGAACCCAAGGAGGTCCCAGCACCCCCAAGGAGGTCCCAGCACCCCCAAGGAGGTCCCAGCACCCTCAGGGAGGTCCCAGCACCCCCAGGGAGGTCCCACCATCCCCAAGGAGGTCCCACCAGACCTTCGGGGTCATTCAGGAACCCAAGGAGGTCCCAGCACCCCCAAGGAGGTCCCAGCACCCCCAAGGAGGTCCCAGCACCCTCAGGGAGGTCCCAGCACCCCCAGGGAGGTCCCACCATCCCCAAGGAGGTCCCACCAGGCCTTCAGGGTCAATCAGGAACCCAAGGAGGTCCCAGCACCCCCAGGGAGGTCCCAGCACCCCCAAGGAGGTCCCAGCACCCACAGGGAGGTCCCAGCACCCCCAAGGGGGTCCCACCAAACCTTTATGGTCAATCAGGAACCCAAGGAGGTCCCAGCACCCACAGAGAGGTCCCACCAGGCCTTCAAGGTCAATCAGGAACCCAACGAGGTCCCACCACCCCCAACGAGGTCCCACCACCCCCAAGGAGGTCCCAGCACCCCCAAGGGGGTCCCAGCACCCCCAAGGAGGTCCCAGCACCCCCAGGGAGGTCCCACCACCCACAGGGAGGTCCCAGCACCCCCAGGGAGGTCCCACCAAGCCTTCGGGGTCATTCAGGAACCCAAGGAGGTCCCACCACCCACAGGGAGGTCCCAGTACCCACAGGGAGGTCCCACCACCCCCAGGGAGGTCCCACCACCCACAAGGAGGTTCCCCCACCCCTCCCTGGTCAATCAGGAACCCCAGGAGGTCTCACGACCCCTCCCTGGTCAAGGAGGAGCCCAAGGAGGTCCCACCACCCACAAGGAGGTCCCCCCACCCCTCCCTGGTCACTGAGGAGCTCAAGGAGGTCCCACCACCCCTCCCTGGTCACTCAGGGACCCCAGGAAGGTCCCACCACCCTCATGGAGGTCCCACCAAACCTTTATGGTCAATCAGGAACCCAAGGAGGTCCCAGCACCCCCAGGGAGGTCCCAGCACCCCCAGGGAGGTCCCATCACCCCTCCCTGGTCACTGAGGAACCTCAAGGAGATCCCAGCACCCCTCCCTGGTTACTGAGGACCCCAACGAGGTCCCCCCACCCACGAAGAGGTCCCAGCACCCCTCCCTGGTCACTGAGGACCCCAAGGAGATCCCACCACCCACAAGGAGATCCCACCACCACAAGGGGTCCCCCACCCTCCTGGTCACTGAGGACCATAATGAGGTCCCCCCACCCGTCCCTGGCCCAGGAGCAGGTGATGCCCCCCCAGGGTGTCCCCTCCCCCACCTGTGCCGGTGGATGAGGGCGTTGAAGGCCAGGCCGTCCCTCCAGCTGGTGGTGAAGTTCTGGATGTTCACCTCAGGGTACCTGGGGGGACAGGGGGGGGCAGGGGGGTCCATCCTGACCTCAGGGGGTCCATCCCACCCCAGGGGGTCCATCCTGACCATGGGGGGTCCATCCCACCCCAGAAGGTCCATCCTGACCATGGGGGGTCCATCCCACCCCAGAAGGTCCATCCCACCCCAGGGGGTCCATCCTGACCATGGGGGGTCCATCCCACCCCAGAAGGTCCATCCTGACCATGGGGGGTCCATCCCACCCCAGAAGGTCCATCCTGATCATGGGGGGTCCATCCCACCCCCAGAAGGTCCATCCCACCCCAGGGTGTCCATCCCACCCTTGGGGGGTCCATCCCACCCTTGAGGGGTCCATCCTGACCTCAGGGGGTCCATCCCACCCTTGGGTGTCCATCCTGACCATGGGGGGTCCATCCCACCCCCAGAAGGTCCATCCCACCCTTGGGTGTCCATCCCACCCCAGAAGGTCCATCCCACCCCAGGAGGGTCCATCCCACCCTTGGGGGTCCATCCCACCCCAGAAGATCCATCCCACCCCAGAAGGTCCATCCCACCCCAGAAGGTCCATCCCATCCTCAGGGTGTCCATCCCACCCCAGGGTGTCCATCCCACCCCAGGGTGTCCATCCCACCTCAGAAGGTCCATCCCACCCTTGGGTGTCCATCCCACCCCAGGGGTCCATCCCACCCCAGGAGATCCATCCCACCCCAGAAGGTCCATCCCACCCCAGAAGGTCCATCCCACCCCAGGGTGTCCATCCCACCCTTGGGTGTCCATCCCACCCCAGGGTGTCCATCCCACCCTCAGGGTGTCCATCCCACCCTTGGGTGTCCATCCCACCCTCAGGGTGTCCATCCCACCCCAGAAGGTCCATCCCACCCTTGGGTGTCCATCCCACCCCAGGTGTCCATCCCACCCCAGGGTGTCCATCCCACCCCAGGGGGTCCATCCCACCCCAGAAGGTCCATCCCACCCCAGGGTGTCCATCCCACCCTTGGGTGTCCATCCCACCCCAGAAGGTCCATCCTGACCATGGGGGGTCCATCCCACCCCAGGGTGTCCATCCCATCCTTGAGGGGTCCATCCCACCCTTGGGGGGTCCATCCCACCCCAGGGTGTCCATCCCACCCTTGGGGGGTCCATCCCACCCCAGGGTGTCCATCCCACCCTTGGGGGGTCCATCCCACCCCCAGAAGGTCCATCCCACCCTCGAGGGGTCCATCCCACCCCAGGGTGTCCATCCCACCCTTGGGGGGTCCATCCCACCCCAGAATGTCCATCCCACCCCAGGGTGTCCATCCCACCCTTGGGGTGTCCATCCCACCCCAGAAGGTCCATCCCACCCCCAGAAGGTCCATCCCACCCCAGGGTGTCCATCCCACCCCAGGGTGTCCATCCCATCCCAGAAGGTCCATCCCACCCTCAGGGTGTCCATCCCACCCCAGAATGTCCATCCCACCCCAGAAGGTCCATCCCACCCTTGGGTGTCCATCCCACCCCAGAAGGTCCATCCCACCCCAGAAGGTCCATCCCACCCCAGGGTGTCCATCCCATCCCAGAAGGTCCATCCCACCCCAGAAGGTCCATCCCACCCCCAGAATGTCCATCCCACCCCAGAAGGTCCATCCCACCCTTGGGTGTCCATCCCACCCCAGAAGGTCCATCCCACCCCAGAAGGTCCATCCCACCCCAGGAGGGTCCATCCCACCCCAGAAGGTCCATCCCACCCCAGGGTGTCCATCCCACCCTTGGGGGGTCCATCCCACCCCAGGGTGTCCATCCCACCTTGGGGGGTCCATCCCACCCCAGAAGGTCCATCCCACCCTCAAGGGGTCCATCCCACCCCAGGGTGTCCATCCCACCCCAGGGGGTCCATCCCACCCCAGGGTGTCCATCCCACCCCAGAAGGTCCATCCCACCCCAGGGTGTCCATCCCACCCCAGAAGGTCCATCCCACCCCAGAAGGTCCATCCCACCCTTGGGGTGTCCATCCCACCCCAGGGTGTCCATCCCACCCCAGGGGGTCCATCCCACCCCAGGGTGTCCATCCCACCCCAGGGTGTCCATCCCACCCCAGGGGGTCCATCCCACCCCAGGGTGTCCATCCCACCCTTGGGGGGTCCATCCCACCCCAGGAGGGTCCATTGTCCCCCCAAGGATGGTAATGATGATGATGATGATGATGGTGATGATGATGATGGTGATGATGATGATGATGATGATGATGATGGTGATGATGATGATGATGACAATGATGATGATGATGGTGATGATGATGATGATGATGATGATGGTGATCATGATGATGGTGA